AAGTGGCAGAGACCAGAAATTGGGCCTGAGTGGCTCTGGTTTTGGTACTGCTGTTGGTCATTTTGTTTCACTCACGTATGTGGTTGTTCTAAGAAACCTAAAATGCTCAACCTCCAACGCCAGCTTCTTCATTCAAGGGGCAATCGCATTCCACTTTCAACAACAAACAGTAGTGGAGTTAAAAGACCAAAAGCTACCAAATCTCAAAGTGAAATCTTTTCATTCTGCACAGCTCAACACAGCCAACGGGTTTACCCTGTAGAAATTAACACAGAGTGCCCCCAGGAACAACCCTTTTATGTACAGAGCAGACTTTAACAGCCAAGTAATTAAACATGGACAGGAAGGGCTTATAATTAAAATGCTGACAAACCTGAACCAGAGGGGCACAAGCAGGGCTGCTATAATATTTTTACAATTCTTTTTATACATAATGTATGATCCTTCTGCTCAAGTTCCTTCTATGTTCTTTGCCTGTGAAATAATTTACATTAATAAATAATTTATTACCATAACTCCTAAAGTAATTATGGGTTTCCATCTAGGTTTTTTTTAGCATATGAATTGTTTTATTCTCTGCCCATTGACTGGTATTTACAAGACTTTTCCTCATGGCCTTTTTGAAATAATTGATATTGCATGTGCTTTCTCACATATTATTTGATCGCCAGGTCTTCTCCTCGCCTGAGTGGTGAAGAAAATGGAATGTGTAGTGTCCATTGTCTCTGCAATACAGAACTCATTTAATGGGTGCAATTAGCCAAGGGTGGTGGTGAATGCAGCCTGCTCTCATCCCACTTGCCTTATTTCACCAAAAGAGATTAAACTAGTACACGTGTGACCCTGGGTCAGCACGAAGAAGCATCTCCCATGGCAAATGATGGAGGACCCAGAGTAGCCATGTGCTAAGGATTCACATGCAGCCCCGCTTCTCCTGGCACAGAATGAATTCTCTTAAGCACAGCCAAGCCCCTTTCTGCACCCACTAGAAATCATGGCCAGGAACAGGGGCCAGCTTGCCTGCCAGGCCTGCTGACCAGTGGGAGGGCCACATCCAAGAAGCTGCCACCTGACCAAGGTTTCCTGTGTCAAGAACACAATAACGGGTCATGTACATGGCTCTTCCCCAGAGAAGCTATTTGTAGAGGAAATTCCAGTTCAGCACAGAAGGTGTGCTGGGGATGGTCTGGAAGGTGAGAAAGGAAATCAAGAGGCAAAACACTGTCTCTGCTAGAAGAAGCCCTGCAGTGACCAGGATGGGCTGGCACCCTACTAACGGGCACTGGGCTCTGGAACAGAGCAGGCCGGGCAGCAGCGTGGCTCCACCGTGCCCTGCTTCTCCCATACATACCTCACGCCGGCTTTGTTTTCTCCCCCAATTTGGAAAACCACAAAGCTACTTCTTTGTATCAAGTTCCCAAACTTGGGTGGAGAAGGGAGACAAAGCTGGGGAGGAGCCTGTAACCCAGCTCACAATAATGGAGCATGAAGTATTTAAAACAACACTGTTGTGAGCACTTGATGATATTAGTAAGGCATTTTATCTAAATGGGTGCAGAGGAGGCTGAGCTACTTGAAAGGGTAGCTTTTATTTAAGAGGAAGCAAACAGGCGCTGCACTCCCCACCCTAATGCACTTGCCTGGATTTTTTTTTAACATTTATGAAACTGCAACTCATACTGGCTTCCAGCTAGGACCCGTGCGTGGAGGCTTAGGAGGGAAATGCCCAGAGTCACAGGGCCAAGCTGTCCCCAGCTCTCACAGGAGAGTTCCACTGATCCAGGTCATAACATGAGTCCTTTATCTCCAGGAGAAAGGCAGGGGGTTTGGTGATTATAATAATATGACATTTTTATCTTTGCTGAGCATTGTCCAGCCCTGGAAGGGCCCAAAACCCTCTTGAAAGTCTGGCTGGACCCACAGGGTGTTCTCTTCCCTGCTATTGAACAGCGGGCATGGCTAAGATGAAATCTCGCTGCCTGGGATGCTCATGACACACCTTGATTCATAGGTTAAATGGGCAGGAGCAGTCACCTGAGCTTCCACCAGCACAGAGACTCGTGAAGGCTCAGCAAGTGCAGGAAAGGGATGGAGGTGGGAGGGACTGAGCCAGTACCTCCTCTGTGCGGCTGTCTAGTTAAGTCCCACAAACACTTGTAATCTGCAAGATGAGGAAATCAAGGCTCAGGAAGATGGGCTGATTTGCCCATAGTTCTGAGGGCCCGCTGTAGGTAAGTATTGTGGAAGTTGCCCTAACCCACAGGGAATTCACTGCTCCTCAATCTTTCTCCTTCACTAGATAAAAACCCTCTTGTGGGCAGGGGCCGATTCATCCCATCCCTGAGCCAAGTGCCTGACCCACAGTAGGTACTACTAGAACAAGCCACTGAAATGAACGGTGGTAAACAAAAAGCCTTGGTACTGCACACTGTCAGATGGGCCACGGTCTTCCTGAATCAAGGAGGAGCTGAGAACAGAAAGTTGAGCATGTGGTGGGAGAGAAGGCGAGAAGAAGGACGAAGGGGTCCACAGACCCCCACCAGCATGGCTGCTGCCGGCTGCTCCTCTATTGCCTGGCAGTGCCCTGGCGCTGACCTGCAGAGCAGAAGGGAGACAAGGCCGTGAGTGATGGAGTGCTTCCTGAGAGCCACTCTGCAAACAAGAGCCTGGAGAAGCAGCAGCACAGGCCCTGGTGGAAACCCTGGGCCAGAGAGAGGCCTCCCCGGTAGAAAGCAGGCCTCCTTGGCAGAAAGCAGGCTGCTGGGCTCCGCAGGCTCAGATGAACTCTGCTGGACAATCTGAAAGGAGAACCTCTCCCCGTGCCTCCGTCCCCTGGGACTCTGCCCTGGTCTGGGCCTGAGGATCTTCCCCCCAGCTATACCCCTCCCCAAGGAAACCGCGGCAGTCCCTTTGCTTGGGCACGGAGGCCTCTTGGAGAGAGTGGGATTCTCAATTTAGGTCTCAGCCCTCTGTTTCACCTATTACTTATGGAGAGCTCACTCTGTGCCAATCTCCTTACCAACATTATCTCACACAGTCCTCACAGCAAGCCTACGAGGCAAGTGCTACCAAAATAGCCATTTTACAGGTGAGAAAACTGAGGCTTGGAAAAGTTAAGTAGTTCAGAGGGACTACCTGAGCCCCACAGCAACCATCATAAACCCACAAGAGCTCCACCTTATTACAAAGTACTCAGTGCAAAGGGCAAGGAAGCCTAACGCCTGGATGGCCGTGAAATAAAGAGCAACATCTCCATAGGCCAGTGCACTAGTGTGGCCAGGAGCTCAAGTCCAGGCTGGTGGAGGGGCTGGGTGTGCCCGGGAGCCTCTCCCCTTCCTGGGCATGACAAAGGAAGGCAGCTCAACCACAGCTCAGCTGTGAGTCTGGCCCAGGAAGCAGGCAGTGAGGTAGGCTTCTGGGCCATGTGGCTGGGTCACTGAGGATTTGCTGAGAGCCGTTAACCACCAATGAGGGGTTCAATCAAGCCCCATGTGGGGAAAGGCCTCAGAAGTGTGTCACACGAAAGGCCAGGTGATCTCCCTGTTTCCATTTCCTCTGGGTGGCAGCATCAAGAGGACCGCCTGGGGCTCTCCCACAGAGCTATGGCTTGTGATTGAAAAGAAAACAATCTCCCTTCTCCCCTGACCTGGGTCCAACTCTGCCTCTCCAGGGACCTTAGGGGAGGGGTCACCTCACTAGACCTCGGTTTCCCTATATGTGAATGGAGCGCCCCTACCAACCCCCTGTGGGCTGCAGAGTCAAGGAGATCGTGCATGTAAGGAGCAGTGCCCAGCACACACCAACTTGACATATCCAGCACTCCCTCCTCCCTCATCATCCCATCTACGGCAACCTGAGTCTAAAGAAGAAAAAAAACACTATGCACAGAGGGAAAGAGCTGAGAAAAAAGGCAAGAAAGATTTCACACAGTCCTGCGAAGACCAGCTGGAGATCTGAAAGCCTGCAGTGGTTACCTAACATGGAAGCTTGGTTTCCACCTCAATGCAGACATTACAGAAACTCATCTGGTAAGGTATCCCCAAAGGGGGCAGAAGTCATGGAAAGACGGTGAAAGGAGAAACTGTGCCCGATCATTTGGAGCACAGAGAAATCAATATAATCAGTACAGTCATCTTTTCGGCCCTCTTACAAAAAACAGTAATCCACACTTGCACGGGAATAGGGGACGGAGACAACCTTTCTGGAAAGATGTCAGCAATATGAAGCAAAAGCCTTAAAAATGTTCCTGCCCTCCAGCCTTTCTATTCCACTCCTGGGAACTATCCTAAGGAATAATCCAAAAGGCAGACGAAGACTTAGACACTTAGTCACTGTTAATCACAACAGCAAACAAAACAGCCCTTTTACCCAACAACCAAGAAACAGTTAGGTCGTTAAATACATTTTGATACATCCACACAATGCAGTACTACAGACTCATTAAAATGCATGGAACAGACAATCTTAATGCTGTGGGAAAATGATGGTAACTACAACTAAGTGAAAAAAGTAAAACAAAAAAAAAAATAAAAGTAAAACAAATATTTTTATGTATACTTTTATATAATCATACGTTCATCATGGACTTGGCTGTGTAAAAAGTGCAGAGAACCTAAAAATACAGCAAAATTTATCAGTAGTTATCACTGGGTACTGGGGCTATGAGAGATTTTGTTTTATACTTTATACTACGGTGCATTTTCTGAATTAAAAAGACGAACACGATTACTTTAAGAATCAGACAGAAACTCTCAATGTTATCGTTGGAAATTATATCTGTAAACCACTCACCAGTGCCCGTCCACTCACCAGCCCCAGCAGCCCCCTGTACCACTCCAGCACCACTGGGACTGAAAGAGTTAAAGCACACAGAAAAGAGTCCCCACGGCTGCTCTTTGTGAACCTGTGTCCAGAAAGTGCTTTTAGTGTCTCACCTGGAGGACTCAGGCCCTGGAGAAAGGACTAGAGAAGGATCATTCACGGCCACCTTGGTTACTCACCCATAATTCCACAAGAGAAAAGTGTCGGTCCTTGACTCATCTTCTTTGGCGTGTGCTGAAAACAACCAGAAAAGCTATTCACTCTTCAAGTCATAAGAAGCACGTCTGCACACGACCCTGCACTGATCTCTTGCTAAAGTCACAATTACAGGGGTAACTGCCTTTTGCCGACATCAGACTAGGGAAAGGAGAAAAAAGTATTAAAAGAGACAACATCTGCCCATAATTAGGCCTGGACCATTCGTCCGAAGTCTCCAGTGAGTTATGGAGTCCATCAAGTTAATGGGCTTTAAAAACACACCAGAAAGCCCCATGACTTCTGACATTGGGGGATTTTTCCATGTGAGTGATGTGGAGGAGGGCACAGGAGGAGGTGTGATATAAACAGTTCACTGAGTTGGGCTGTAAAGAGGCCTCCCCACAGCCCAGGCTGGGAGAGGAGCGGACCTCACAGTGACAAGAAGAACCCTGAGTGAAGAACAGAGACCCGTCTGCCACCCCCAAATCCCTCTCCTCAAGATACAAGGAGAATGGCTCTTCCTTCTCTAGACAGAAGCACCAGGTAAAGCCCAAGAAGGTGGCCCTCTGCTCCGCAGGCTGCTTTGTGGCTACGAGGCCCCCTGAGGCATCCTCTCTGAACTGAAACAGAAACTCAGAGGTTATATTTGGTCTCCACATACAGCTATGGCTTTTGAACTCCTTGGCACCATTATTTCCACAATGGTTTCCCTTTCCACTGTAAACATTCTACATCTTTCCTTAAACCCACACCTAAGCCTCAGCTGAACGCTATAGCCATTCAGTGAAAAATAGGCCAGTGAGGCCTAGAAGAACCCCAAGTCCAGGCACTTGCTCCATGGCTGCACGGTAACCTGAGCATGGAACATTCAGGGGTTTCTTGCACTAGCTGAGGCACAGGTCAAGAGGCCTCAGCAAAGAGAAGATTGTGCCCATCGGGGCCCCAAGAAGAAGGGTCTGCCTCAAGTATTCCAAAGACTCACTCATTCTTCAACCACTCATTCAACAAATATGTACTGTTAAGTATTTACGTGCAGGCTGTGCTAGGGGTTGACCACGCGATGGTGAAAGAAACTCCCAGCCCCAGAAGAGTCAGCAATCATAGAGGGCTCCAACTTCTGAGAGGAGCCCCAGATGACAGGGACATGCAAGGCTTCTAGTCCAAGAAGTAGGCGGGAACCCAGGCCCTGGTTCTTTAAGGCCTGGAAGGACGAGGGTGGGGCTGACTAGGAACACCTGGCCCACCCAGATAAGAGGGTGGCAAGCTCCTGTGCCAGCTCCCTCACCCCTGTCCCCAGCTCCCCGATTCGGAGATATCTGTCCTCGGTCAGCAATGCGTTCATCCAATCAGGTTATTAAGGGTCTGTCCTGACCAGCCTGGGATGCAGAGGTGAAGGACGCCCGCCTTGGCCCCCAGGAAGCTCCCATTTCAGGGAGGACACAATCACACAGACAAACCATGACAACACAGAGAAAGTGGGACTGGAGGGGAGATGACCCAGGGCATGGGTGCTGGCTTCCTGGAGGAAACGCCAGAGCTGGTGTAGAAGGACCAGAAGGAGCTCACAAGGGGTGAAGGTGAATGGGCCAGTCCTTCTCCGGTGCCCCCTCCTCGTTTTAAAACAGTCGTTATATTTTTAGGGGAGGTCACCCTCCTGGATTCCACAGTGACTTAACCATCCAATCTACAGCCATCCGGGGAAATATCTGGAAAGAGTTAAAGACGGCTGCGTCTGCCTCCCTTCCAGCTTAAGGCAGCAGGATGCACACTGAGAACCCGAACCAAAGTCACTGAAGGGAGTGCGGTGACAAACACTCACAAGCCCTGCCTCCAGGCAACCTCGGCTCCTAGGGGAAGGTTCAGAGAGAGAGAGGTTGGGCTTGGCCAATGGCATGGGCCCTGTCTGCCAAGGAAGACAGCTCCAATGCTACAGGAGCACCCACCGGGGAACCACAGCCCCCACCCTTGTGCTGTGTGGCACAAAGCTACCCAGGCTGAAAGCCCACACAAACCCAAACCAGGATGGGGCCAGGGAAAGCAGAAGAGAGCAAGAACGCTGGAGCGGCTCATTTGCTGTGCTGGCACATAGGTGCCACTGAGGAAGACTCGGGGTTTAGAGAAACAGCAGGAAGCAAACCAGTGACTTGACTCACTGACCGTCAGTGGAGCTCTGCTCACTGGCCTTTTCCTTCCACTAAGCTGGTGTGTTCCAGACAGAGGAGCACCTCGGGGCCCTCCCAGGGAATGTGGACACATGAGTGGACGCCAGAGGTGCTGGGGTCTGTGCCCACAGAGAGAAGCCACTGGGCCAGTTCACAGAGGCTTCCCAGGCCCTCATTCACTCATTCATTCATTCATTTGCTCAGCAAGGATTTACCTGCATTTGCTGTAGACCCGTTTCCCAGGTTAGAAAGCACAAACTCGGAATGTGAGTGCTTCTCACTCCTCTGCTGCCCTACTCCAAGCCACCACCGCCCTCCACTGAAAGACCAAACCAGCCTCCTAACTGGTCCCCACCTGTGCCCTGGGCCCGTTCTCCATTCTCCACCCAGAACCCAGCAGAGGCCAGCCCACGTCCTTCCTCTGCTTACAACCCTCCAACGACTTGCCACAGCAACCAGAATAAGATCCAGGCCAACCCCTCTCCCCGCAGCCCTCCAGGCCCACATGAGCCAAGCCCGGGCGTCCTCAATCTCGCCTCTGTCCATCCCACCCTCACTCACGCAGCTCAGCAGGCACCAGCCCAGCTCGCTGCCACCTCAAGGCCTCTGCAGTGAGGTCTTTACACAACGGGCTCTGCGTCTCATTTCTGTCACGTGGCCTCCTCGGTGGCCTTTCTTGACCACCCCAGCTGGAAGGGTGCCCTCCCCATCAGTGCTTTTCTCCACATGTTTAGCATTGGCACTGCCTGCATCAGTTCATTTGTTTCTGTGCTTGTTCTCTGCTCCTTCTGAGAACTAAGCTTCTTGAGGCTGCTGTCTTGTCCACAATATTCCCAGCACAGGCAGGTGCCACGTGACTATCTGTTGACAGACTGCTATGGCCACCTGTCAGCCCAAGCTTGTCTCGTTCCTGCTGCCACACACCCGGCAGATGCAGGGCCAATGGAAACGGATTTTCACTGGGCGGAACCTGCTGCCTCCCAAAATTGCTAGGCTCGTGCCAAATCAAAACTTGGTGAGGAAGGGGAGAGAGCACCAGCCAGACAGAGTTGGGGTCAACCCCCATGCCGGCCTCTGACTCTGCATCCAACGGCATGGGTGGACCGGTGATTGCTCGCACTGAGATTTTACAACTTGAAGAAACACCTTCTCTACGTTCCCTGTTCCCAGTGAACCCCACTCCTGCTCCCCTCACTGAGCATGTGAAAATGCACGGTGGTACAGTCCCCTTTCTGCTGCTAACAGCACCCCAATTTTGCATTGGGACTCCTCGCCTCCCTCACTGGAGAGTGTCTTGGTGGGATGATGCCTTGACCTCCCCTGGCACGGGATGCAGGTGTGGCTGACCAGACCCTCCCTGCTCCGGGGCTCTGAATCCTGGACCAAGGGGGTGCTGGTGCTGGTCACCCAGCAGGGAGGCCCTGAGCCTGCCATGAGCACCTGCTTCCAAAATCCTCCTGGCTGCTCTGTCCTGCCCTTTCTGAGGCCTCATTCACCAACTCTCCTCCAGTCTCGTAGCTCTCTCGGGTCACTCTAGTGAATTTTCTTTTGGTATAAGTTAGCCAGAGATGGTCTCTGTTGCTTACAACGGAGGAACCCTGGCCAATTTCGTGCCAGACTTTAAGATGAGATCGGGGTCCCCGTCTTGCTTTCTGAGCCTCATCTATGAGGCTGGGATGGCAGGGGGCAGGCAGAACATCACAGACCAGACGGCTTCCCAGTGTGTCTGACTGCTGGCAGGTTTCCCAGGGTCCAAGACCGAGGTTCCCACTGGGCTCCAGGTTGGCCACAGCTGTTTTATTCCCATTATACCTGGTATATGATAAAATTCCCACTGGTCTGTGCCATTCTGCAGCCAGCCTTCCTAACCCTTTGAACCCTCTGCACCCACTGCAGGAAGGGTGAGCCAATCACTGCATGGTGAGGCCCGACAGGCCCTGGGAGAAGCTCTCACCCTCTGGGGTTTCACAAGACACTCAGCGTATGCACAGAAGCGAGCGCCCAGGCCCTGCCTGGTGTCTGTAGTGAAGTACGACAATAAGCACAGTTCCCCCTGGTATTTCTCCCACTGTGAGGCCTCTGTTCCCAAGCCTACCCCAGGGCAGAGCCCGGTCTCTGTGAGATTCCTAAGATCACGAGAGAAGGTTTTAGAATCAGAATCCATAAGAAAGGCAAAAGGTAGAAATCAAATTAGAGGCTTCAGGGACCATCTGTCTGACTAAGGAAAAAAGTTCTCACTTAAAGACACAATTCAGGTCTTTATTTAATGAGGAATGAGCTCAGACAGAAAATGGCAGAGCTCATCTCTGGTCATAATCGTGCTTCTTCATAACTTTCTTCTGTGGATTACTGACTGAAGCAGTCACGTCACTGCTTCCTTCTCTTGACACAGTGTCACAGGGAACCACAACGCAACGTGGACAAGCTCACACTCATGCACTCGAAGGGAACAAGTAGAGCACCCGAGGGAGACTGTGGCAGTGGAAAGCAGAAGGGAGAGCCAGGCCAGAGAAGAAAAAGAGAAGCTGAGAAGGGAGTAGCGCCCTTGGATGGATGCTCTCAAACATGCTGATGGAGATAGAGTAAGCAGCCCTTGCTCCCCAGGCTGCAGGGTTAGCCAAGGCACGGGAGGCCGCTTGGTGTCTTTGTTTGCCCAGGATGGATGGCATCAGACTGCCGTGGACTCGCTGTGCACTTCTCAACTCTTAACTTCAGGCCAGCCCGTGGCCTGCCAGGGAACCTGGGTGGGACTGTTGAGCCCAATGCCAACTCCGGGTGACAGGGACTATGAAGACCCTTGGTGCCCAGGCAGTTAGGTGCAAGGCCTGACGTGGCCACTAACTCTTCCGACTGGGCAAATAACTTAACCTTGGCTTCCTAATCTGACAAGTGCAGAAGGAAGTACCTGCTCCAAAAGCCAGTGTCAGCTGTTCTGGGAAATACCTGTCTGGGGAGTCTGGGGCAAGTGAGGAGGCCTAGAGGCACAATCCATCCTCTGCCCTGGAGCAGTGCACCCACAGCGCCCTTTGGTCTCCAGACTTGAGAGAGGGCTGGGAGACTTGCTGGGGAAAGGAGGCCAGGCCTGGCCAGGGAAGATGGTCCCTCTGATGTGAGAGAACAGGCCCTGGGCCGGAGCGTGGGCGTGCGGAAGGAGCTGGGGGAATGCTGCCCTCAAGGTCAAATGTCTGGGCTGCCTTCCAGCAGCAGCAGCTAATGTTAGAACACTAGAAGGAAGAGCCCATTCGGCAGAGGAAAGCGACCCGGCAGAGTAGGGGAAAGGGGAACCGAGTGCCGTCATTGCTGCCCATTGTGCAAGCCAAGCCGGGGCTTGGGGCACTGCGGGCCCTCGGCCATCTCTCCCGGGCCAGGCGGGCCCTATGCTGGGGAGCACACGTCAGTCCCTTTTTCTGTTTTCCTACATCTCTCTCGGGAGTAGAGGCAGTCACGCTGTCACCAGTAGTTTTTAGGAAAAGGAGAACAAGAGACCATTACACAGGCTCCTAAGAGGACAGGGAGGGGCCCTGGCCAGGCCCCAGGGGAGGGAGCCCTGGGCCTCTCCACCAGGTGTTTCCACGGCCCCCCCAGGTGGTCCCGGGTGACTTTCGCTTGCAGCTTTAGACTTTCTCTCCTCATTGCTAGGGCTCTGGGGCCTGCTCCCACAATTCCAAAGCGGCCTGTGGTGATTCATGTTTTCTTTTTTAATCTTAAACCCCCCACTTCTGTTCTCTTCTTAGTCTGATTAGAAAACAAAAGAGAAATGCTTTTCCATCTTTCCTGTTGTTATCTTGATGGTATTTACATGAGGATGATGTTACCAGTTTAGGAAGCTAAAGCGAAACCCCCATCCACTTCCTCTCAACCTTGCTGGCTGTTCAGAGCAAATTCTAACATCAGTTTATCTTACATTCTGTCTTGTTGGATATCATCACTAGACTGAGATTATTTTCAGTCTTTCTTCAGTTGTTTACAGCCTATGTCTCTCCCCAAGGCCCAGCGGAGTCCTGAGAAGACTGCAGCCTCAGGAGCGGGGCTGGGGCGTGCCTGAAGGCCTTGGGTGGAGTAGACAAGGGTCTGGACTTGACGCCTGTACCCTGGCACCCAGCTCGCCAGCTGTGTGACCTGGGCCCCCCCGTCCCCTGGGCTCTCTGAGCCGCAGCTTCCTGTCTGTACAACAGGGCAGAGACGGATGCACCCCTGTCCCTCAGCAGGGTGGGGGGAGGCTCCAGGAGAGGGAGGGGTGACAGGACCTCTGCAAGCAGCACACAGACCATGCTTCCCCTCCGAAGCCCTGGGTTCAGCCATGCTCCCGCCTGCCCGCTTGCCCACATTGTGCTTCCACCCGCCCTGTGCAAGCAGAACTAAGCCAGGCCAGGTACATGGCTGACAAGGTGTGATGCGCCAACAAACTGACAAACAAGAAAACCCCCTCCCAAAGGAGTCCCCTCCCCAGGCTGTCCTGTCTATCTGGGAGTCAAGGGGAGGGAAGAGGAAGAGGAAGACTGATGGCCTGAGCACTGTGCTGTGGGCTGGGCAATGACGAAAAGCCTATGACTTTCTAAGCAGGGGAGGGGGAGTCTGGGAAGAAAGGGAAGACCCTCATCTGTAAAGCTGCAGGAGTGAGCAGGGCGGAGCCCCTTTCCATGACCCGTTTGCTTCCCTTGACTTTCTTTCCTTTCCTATTCTGAGAAGATGAGTTTTTCTTCCCTAGCTAGGGCTGGGAGGTCACACTCCTCCTGGCAGGGGCTCAGGCCATGTCTCTTGAAAGAGCGGCTCAGCTGACCACGTGCCCTGGAACCAGCTCCACAGCCAACCCAAGCCAGGCCACCTAAGATGGAACCAAGCTCAGCAGGGCTGTCCCAACAGCACAACTGGAACCCGGCAGAGGTCCTCCCTTGGGACCTCCAGAAGGCCCTCACCCTGGAGGATGTTCCTTTCTGGTCAGAGCTACTATAGGTGTGTTCTTCAGATTTCACCAGGAAAACACCCACCAACAACAGAAAACAGGGCAACCTGAGCCATGAACCTGAGCAGCAGCCAGAGAAGGACTAAAACAATGATGAGCTGAGAAAAAGCTGAGCTCCTGAAACCCACACTCATTCACTCCACAGCGTTCACTGAGCAACTGCCATGTACTAAGCCCTGGTTTCAGGCACTAGGTATTCAGCAACAAGCAAAAGAGACAAAATTCCTTGCCTTCATGAAGCTCACATGCTACTGCAGAAAGCATTCAATAAACAAGATTAAAATGTTAGTAAGTCCTAAGAGCCTAAGAGGGAAAAGGGCGGACAGGGAAAGAGACAGGAAGTGTAGGGGTGGGGAAGTAGGGGCAGGGGTGAAATCACATTTTAGGCCAAGTGGCAGAGAAGAAAGCGAGGGAGAGACTCCTGCTACAGGGGAGTGTCCCAGGCCAGGAAAGAAGTACAAAGGCCCTGAGGCAGGCTTGTGCCTGCCATGTTTGAGCAGGGAGGCCTGCGTGGCTTGAGCAGAGTGAATGGGGGAGAGTAGCAGAGAGAGAGCAGAGTGGTCATGGGGAGCAGAGTATGTGGAGCCCTGTACATTCTAGTAAGGGCTTTAGCATTTGCTCAGCCTGAGATGGAAAGCCAGTGGAAGGTTCCGAGCAGAAGGAGGACAGATCTGACTTGTATTCCCTTTGGCTCCTGGGTGGAGAACAGGCTAAAGGAGCCAGAAGCTGGGGACCAGTTACCACAAGAATCCAGGCGAGAGAGGACAGCAGGTAGGATCAGAGTGGCAGCAGTGGGGATGGCGAGAGGGAATCTAATTACATTAGATATTAAATGCAAATTGGAAAGAAAGTGGTGATGGGCAGAGACCTGATGCATCTTTGTTGGTGGAATTCCTCCAGCCCAGTGCCTGACACACCCAAGGTGCTCTGTGAGGGCCTATGGAGTAGACACAGGTCTCAGTGGCTTTGAGATGCTCCTGTGAGGGCGAGAGACCCACCTGCCTGCTCTCGGCTTGGTTGTTGGTGTGAGATCAGGGAGAGAAGCCCACGAGGGTTCTAGTGTGGGTTCTCACGAGGGGCTGTGAAGGGCACCAGGAGGGATGCCAGGCAAAGTGACCCTGGACAGTGGGCCCCCCACTGACCACAGAAGCTGCAGAGAGTCCTGGGGACTTAACTGTCTGCAAAACTCCCCCACAAGCATGTTTATGTCTGAGTGGGACTTGCCGCTCCCTCTGTAGGGGAGCAGCCCCACTCACTTCTGAGGAGTTAGGGCTGGAAGGAGGGTTAGGAGGCTGTTTTGTTCGCGGTCTGAGAAGGCCGTGTTGTCTGTCTCTCTGGCCCAGCCCATCAGGTCACTTGGTCAGAGGACAACTCTGGCAGAGGGCAGCTGTCACCACGGCCCACCACCTTGGCGGCCAGACCATGCCTTGTTTCTCCATTGTCTCCCACTCTTGACATTTCTGAGGCAACAGCTCTCGCTCTGCACCACCCTTTAGAGGTACGCCCTTATCTTGGCCCCTACTCAGGGCACCACCCCCCTTCTAGAAACCACCTCCCCTTACTGGGTGGAGAACAGAAGGAATGTTGGCCTCAGCCTGGCAGAGGCGACAGAACCATGCTTGGTATTATTTACCAAGGTGCTGGCCTTCCCTTCTTCACTCACCAGAGGACTCCAATCTGGGTGGGATACTTCCTTCTTGCAAATACTTAGCCAGGCTCTGGTTACTTGGCCCTACTGGCCGGCCTGCAACATCTCACAGAGCTCTGCTCTTGTGCACTCTGGACTCAGTCTGCTAAGCCTGCACGCTCAGTCCACAGCCCCACTTGGAAACCAAGCCTCAAAAAGGGACCTCAGAGAAATGAGGCCTACTAGGTCCTTACCAGCTCAGGGTTGAAGGTCCTGCATGCTATGGAGTCAGCTCCCTGTTTGTCGAGGCTTTTACTTAGGATCATCACCATGGTAAGGACCTCAGGCATGGGGCTCCATCCCAGGGTGGGCACGAGCCATCTTCAGTTGGACAGACTTGGGCAGAGGAGACGTCCTGGGTACCTCCCAGGTGACAGATATCAGCAGAAACAGCTCCCCATCAGCCACTCACCCTCAGGGTGAGGCTCTTCTAGGAAATGGCCAAGTGTGGTCAATTCCCTGGAAAGACAAAGCAAAGGCAAAGGGATTCAGGACTGAGAAAGAGGAGTACCCTGAGAGAGCTCCCCGCTCCCCATCAGGCAGGGGCCCTGGTCGAGAATGGAACCACCTCCCTGCTGAAGGAGATGCATTCTGAGAGGGCCACGAAGACCCAAATCACCTTCTCGGAGTCGCCACCCCCCATGCCGGCCTTGGGGCCTCCCCATAGCCAACACCCTGGTGGGTACAACAGCGAACCTCAGTTCAACCACATGACACCTTTAAGACATAGTTCAGGGTCGGAGTTGCTCACAATCTGCTGTCCCCAAAGTGTGCTCAAGTCATGTAACATCTTACACTGAGCTGGCTTTGCAGACAGCTTCAGCCTATGCCTAAGGAGGCTGAGGGTCAGACACGCACCAACCCCACGGTCCAAAACTGAAGGGGTCGGCCCTCAAGCAGCCAACTGGCAGCGGGGGACCCACAGTCAGCAGGACAACTATTGTTTCCAACCAGTTATGAACAGAAGCTACTGGAAGAATTAGGAGAATCCACTGAAAGGCACAGATTTCCCATCCTTGGAAGCACCATGCTTCCGCATGACACATTTGCAACACTGGGGGCCTTTGTAGCTTTGCTCCCTTCCCGAGAAGAAGCCAAGCCCAGCCACAGCCCTTGGAGGGCCTGCCCACACCACTCTGAGCTCCAGCAGTGACAGGACCCCCCCGTATCACCACTCTGCACAGCCGGTCAGCACCTCTTCCCCGATCCACCATCATCTCCCACCAAGCAAATGCTGAAAGACTGCAGCCTTCAGCTCAGGTCTAAAAAATCGGTCCTTACAAATTAACTTTTCTGATCCTAATTCCCCCATCCTAACCACCCCTCTGTGGTTACACCTTCAAAGAAAGTCACATGGATACAAGCAACCTGAAGATTATCATCAAAAAGTAAAAAGTAATGATGGTAATAGTAATAAATAAATAAAAAGGCAGCTCCTGATCTGTAATTAAAAACAAACTGCTCAGTGCGGGAAAATGTTTTAGAATCTGCTGCTCTGTGTAAAAATTAATTGCACCCTGGTATTTACTTGCCATCCAGATTGTAAATCATATTTTCCTGTTTACTTCGATTAGACTTTACAGTGGGTGTTACTGAAATTGCTCAATTACGGGCCAGCTGGCAAGCACAGGAAAATTACCTTCTACTGTTCTTCGAAAACAAGGTTCATCCAAAGTGCACAAGCAGGGAAGGGGAGGAGGAATCAATACATTGTCAAAGGCCTGACTGTTGGGGAAGGGAGGCCCGGTGGAGTCTGCCGGCTCCTGGTCACACTGGGAGAGCTGATGCACAGTTTCAATACCGCATCAGTCTAGAAGCGACATATTCTGACCAAGTGTGATCTGCTCAAGGAAAGAATTTCAGACCACTCCTCTGAGTTCTGGCCAGACAGCTGAGCCAGAAATGCCCGCCAGTCCCCTGGACGCTTGACTCAGGAGCGGGAGAGGGGCCAGGGCCGCGCCAGGCAGGAAGAGAGCCCAGAGGGGTGTTGGTGGACTCTCCCTTCAAAGGGACCCTTTGTGCCACCTCAGTGGCAGAGGCGAGGCCTGATGGTGGCTGCCTTCTTTCTGGGTGCCACCTCAATCCAGTTCTGGGGCAGCCAGCCATTGGCTCAAGGCCCAGGCGGTGACCTGCCCTCCCCCACATTCCTTCTTCCCTAACAAGGCAAGAGGGTTCGGCAGATACAAGCTCAGATCCTGAGTCAAACACACCTGGGTTGGAATCCCAGCTCTTGAAATGTATTGTCCAAGCGATCTTTGCCAAGTTAGTTACTCTCTGAGCCTCAGTTTCCTTCTCCATAAAATAGGGACAACAGGGCCTGCCTCAGAAGATTAGTATTTCTTATGAAAAGCAAGCTCAAGCCCCTGGCTCGGTGAGAAGCTCTGGCTCACTTGAGGAAGTGTTCAACAAACAGTAGCTATTGTCACTAGTTTCATGGGGGAGCCTGTGGGTCCCAATCCTTTCTCATCAATGCACATTCAGGCACCTGTCTTCTCAAGTTTTGTTTTGTTTTTTTTTTTTTTGATGAGGACGATTGGCCCTGAGCTAACATCTGTGCCAGTCTTCCTCTATTTTGTATGTGGGATGCCACCACAGCATGGCTTGACAAGCAGTGTACAGGTCCACACCAGGGATCTGAACCTGCGAACCCTGGGCCACTGCAGTGGAGCACACAAACTTAACTGCTACACCACTGGGCCGGCCCTCAAATTTTTTGAAGAGGAAATTCCATCAAATTTTTTTAAAGCTAAATTCCATCAAGAGGGGACTGGCTATGGTATGGCCCATCCCCCTGGTGAAACAGTAGGTAGCCAGTAAAATCAACGTTGTGGAAATCTATTGCCATGGAAACACATTAGCCCATCCGGATGCAGCTGATATGCACCAAAAATGAAGCTGGACGGAGGCAGTGGTACAGGCAGTCTGACTCTCAAAGCTCCATCCTCACTGGAGCCCCTAAGGAGCCCAGGGCTCACAGAGGCAGCAGGGGGGTGAATACCGGAGCACGCAAGCTGTGAACTGAGTGGTCAGCAGACACGACAGGTGCTGAAAGGAGAAAGAAGGTCAGGCGCAATCCCTGTCCTCAGAGGTCACAGAAAGAGAGCACTGTGAACGCAGGCACTACGTCTACCAAAGGCAGAGAGGAGGGGGCACTGGAGCTGGCTGTGAACAGACCCCTTTGCAACAGGGGCCAACACCCAGCACTGCCTGTAAGAGCCCAGGAGTGGGGATGACCTAGATGCCATCAACAGAGGACTGGTTACACAAATCATGGCATTGCTACGTAAAGGAATACCACGTCACCTCCACCGCCATTTTAACAAGGCCACTCTAATGGTAAAGATGTGAACTGTTCTCCAAGACACGCTGCACAGTGAGAACAGCAAGACGAGGAGGGCAGCGTGGTCCCCTCACCATGGCTGCCTTGAGCCAGAGACTGTGGTTCTGGAGTGGGAGGAAGCACCTTGATTGTACAGCCTTACATGCTGTTTGAGTATTTCATCCAGTGCATATGATACTTTTTTGATGAAAAAGAAAACAGGCAAGATTTCAACAGGAAGCAAAGAGGCATAGGGGCAGAGAGACGAGTATGAGCCAAGCACGGGGAGCTGCCCTGTACACGGTGGGGGGATGATGAGCACACTGATGGCTGGCGCACAGGATACATAGAGAGGGGGCAGCAGGACAAGGGACTGGAAAGACAGATTCAAACCAGACCGAGGGCTCTGAATGCCGGACTGAATATGGACTTCATCATGCAGCCACAGGGACTCCCCAAGGGGCTAGAGTTGGTGGCTTGGATCTGTTGAGAGTGACTTTTTCTAAACCCTCTGCACACCTAGCACAGTCCCCTCATTACAGTGAGAGCTCAATACACATTTCTAGAACTAGGCTAAATTGTAGTAACATCTGAAATGATCCGGCACACTCTCAGACCTCGTGAGGCGAATCCAGACCAGCAGAGTCTGGCACAATCTGGAATTCCGTGGGATTCCTTTGCTCCGTGGCATAGGTCTGGCCAAGTTCATTGGGGAATGCCGGTGCCTGTCCAGAGACTTAGAGCCCAGTCTGAGAACAGGGCCAGGGACTGCTCAGGGAGAAGCCAGGGGCTCAGACTGTGAGGGGACAACTGGGTGCACAGCTCTGCCCCAGGTAAAAAGCAGGTGCCCCAGAGCCCACAGGTGGCAAAGTGAAGGGCTCCTGAGGCCACCTCTGGGGCACAGACCCTGCTCTGGCCTGCTGGGTTTTCTCTTAACCCATATGAAGAACAGCTTCCACCTACTGAGCACCTGCTGTGTACCAGATGCTTTACCCATATTAGTTACACGACAGGTTCAATTATCCCCATTTTACAGACGGATGAAGCAACTCACCCAGGGGACACAGGGTGAGCTAACATCTGAACCCAGGTAGACTGGCTCCCAGGCACATGGTTCCCACCAGAGCCCACCTGCAGCATGGCCCCCACCCCTCCCCTGCCTCTCCAGCCCAAACACAGCCTTCAGAAGCCCACTCGAGCAGCCAACACACGACCCAGCTGTTGTACTCCTTGGCATTCATCCTAGAGAAATGCAAACTTATGTTCACACAAAAACCTGCACGTGAATTTCAGAGCAGCTTTATTCATAACAGCCAAAACCAGGAAACACCCAGATGTCCTTCAATGGGTGAAAGGCCAAACAATCACACTACGGAACAATCACACTATGGGACACTACTCAGCATTAAAAAGGAACCAACTATTGATACCTACGACTTGGATGAATCTCCAAAGAATTATCCTGAGTGAAAAAAGCCAATCCCCAAAGGTTAATTATCGCACGATTCCATTTACACAACATTCTTGAAATGATAAAGTCAGAGAAATGTAGAATAGATTAGTGGTCGCCAGGGGTTTGAGATGGGGGTTGGGGACAGGGGCGTGGGAGCAGGAGGGAGTGGGATGTGGTCATGAAAAGGCAACAGGAGGGATCCCTGTGGTGATGGAAATGTTCTGCATCTTGACTGCGTCAGTGTCGGTTTTCTGCTTGTGATACTGTACTACAGTACAACAGTAAAGGGTACGCAGGATTTCTCTCTGTGGTTTCCTACAACTACATGTGAGTTTACGATGATCTCCAAAGTTATAATTTAAATTTAAAAAGTTCACTCAATCTATGCATTTGTCAAAACTCGTAGAACTAAACACCAAAAGAGTGAATTGCACCATATATAAATATAAATACTTAAAAAAAGAAACCCACATGGCTGCCACTGCCTGTACTGAGGAGACTGTGTGCAAGGCGAGGAGAGGACACTTGCTGTGGGATTAGCCCTGGCCTTCACTTTGAGCTAGTCATTTGACTTCAGTTTCCTCATCTTTAAAATGAAAGTGATAATATCTTTGCTCTGGAGGCTGCTGGGAGACTTAGATAAGAAAATATGTATCAAAGAGCACAGTACAGAGAAGGCCCCAGACG